TTGTTGGTTCAGATGAGGTCTCATTAACTTTTTCCCTGGGCTGGCTTCAAACCATGATCTTTCTAATCTCCACCTCCCAAGTAGCACAGGCATGAGCCACCACACCCAGCTATTCTACACTTTATTCATTTTGCAGTTCAGTGGTGTTTGTTACATTTACAATGTTGTATAACCATCACCACTATTTCCAAATATTATCATCCCCCTCAACTGAAACTACCCAGGAAGCAGCAAGATCCGTTCTTCCTCTTTCAGCCCAGGTAACTGCTAACCTGCTTTCTTTCTCTATGAATTTGCTTCTACTAGGTATTTCATATAAGTGGAATCAAACAATATTTGTTCTTTTGTGTCCAGTTTCTTTCACTAAGCATGATGTTTTCATGGCTTGTCTATGTCATAGCATGTGTGAGAATTTCATTCCTCTTTAAGGCTAAATAATATTCCATTGTGTGTATATTCCACTTTGGTTTTCTATTGCTCTGTGCATGCAAGGAAAGCTTCTTCTTGGTTGTGTTTCAGGCACCAGTGAAGATCCCAGGTGAATAAGGGTTTCAGTGTGGGGTCTCTATTGCCCACCCTGCGAGACACGCCTTGGAGGTGGGCCTTGATCTGCCCAGTGGACACTGTTGGGCACAGTAACCCAGGGCTTCTATCAGTCTGTGGACAGAGACAGTTGCACTGTTCCGAAAGGAACACCAGACCCACCATCAAGGAACCTAAGTGCTTGTCACAACTGGGCTAGATGTGTGTCCTCAACAGTTCCCTCCTTTCAGTACAGCAGGTGGTGGGAATGTATGACCCCGTTCTTCCAGCTCCATGTATCCCACAAAGTCATCCATGTTCTGAGACAGCAGTGCCGCCATGTGGCCTGGGCAGAGCAGACACTCAGGACGTATTTGTGTCCTATGGAAAGAATGCCTGAGAGAGAATGAGAAAGTGGATGGAGCCCAGGGGTTGGGGCTCCTTTGTGTCTTGGGTAGAGAATAGACAGGAGGCTGTGTTTAGATGTTCAGGCTGTTCAGGTTGAATGGTATCTTAAGTTGTAAAGCTATCTGAATAAAGCCTGCTAAGTGTAGTATTGCTGTTGTGTTAATTGCGTTTGTATTGTACAGAGATGAAATTGTATGACTGAGCGACTCATCGATTCTGCGTGGTGTAGAATTCTTGGCAGCCTCAACAAATACACATACATAAATTTAAATGGGTATTTACAGGCTCTCTAGGGATGGACTCTCCCACCTGGAGTCTGTTACACAGCAGATCTGAGCCGCGTAGTTCAACACAGGAAGGTGGCATCTCGTACGCTCCTGTGTGTGCACATGTGCCACAGAGCATGCTACATGAAGGTCGTGCCAGTCCCTCGCGATTGGCTCTATGTAGAGACCCCCACTGCCTGCATAGATTCTGTTCACAAGGAGTTTGTGTTCCTCTCAGCACACATCCTAATAATGCTGTTGATGCTGGGCGTTGTGTTATACTATGACATGTGTCTGTATTTACGGAGAGGAAGTGAAGAAGAGATCTCTGCTCCTTTCCATTTTCTGGAACCCAGCCGTGCCTTAGCCAATGCCTTCTGCGTGCAGGCCACGCATTGTCACTGTCACTTGCCATGTGGTTTTGGAGGACTTCAGAAGTCACCCACCACTTTGGAATGGTGTTCCAAATTACAAGGAAAACCACAAAAGCAGTGAGCCCGCTTCTCAAATGACATCTTAGGCAGAACCCAGCATATAAAGTTGGTAAAAGTCTCCCAGGGGGCCAGCAAGAAGTAGCCCCTTGTTTTGTCCACATCCCATCATACCGGTTCCTGGACTCCCTTCAGCTAGGTCAGGACCCTTGGCCAACTCAGCATGCAGTGCAGGAGTGTGTGGGGAGTCAGATCCCCACTTACTTGGCCTTCCCTATCTGGACCTTCATCTAGCCTGGGAAGCCTAGAGTTCACTACAGCGTTACCTATATAAATTTTACAGGTAGGGAAACAGAACAGAGCGGTAAAGCAACTTGCCCAAAGACACTTGAGCAGTTGGTGCTGGCAACAAGATCAATGATTATTTCCATCAACTTCCTTTAGGAGGTTATGTTTCTTTGGGAAAGAAACACTGAGAAAGGTATCTCTGGTGCCCAGGAGGCAAGATGAGCTGAGCAGACCTTTGCACAGAAGGTCAGGAAGTCTGGTTTCCTGTCCTTGTCATCTGCCTCCCTGGCCTTAGAATCTTATCAGTGTCCTAGTTTTTCAGGGGAGCAAGTTAGTTAAATAACCTACAAGATGCCTCCTGTCTTCCAAACCCCATGACTTTAAGCAGGGTCCTGTAACTTCTGCCTGGAGCTCAGTTCCCATGACAACTAGGGACTTTCTTGAGATGAAATTTTTGATGAAATAGATGCTCAGGTGGGAATCTGTGGCAGTTTTCCTTACTGGGTTCCCTAGCATGAACCTTCTCCCAGGACGTCCACACTGAGCCCTGCCTGTCAGCTGAACTTTGCTCTGAGCCTAACCTCTACACATCTCACCACATTATCTCCAATTCAGCAAGTCCGTAACTGATGTCTCCACCTTTCTTCAAGGCCTCTCTTCCTCTTGCTCAAGTCCTCTACTTTGGTGAGAGGCATTACCAGCCACATGGTCACTCAGTTAGAACCCTCAGGGAGGGGACAGTGCACCTCTTCTCTGTCCTGCCTCTTACACCACCCCTACATGTGACCAGAAACCAAAGTACACTCCAGCGTCTCATAAGTCCATGTGGGTCCACCAATCTCACTCTCTCTACCTTGGCTTAAGCCATCATGACCTTTGCTTGGCTCACTCCCTCACCCACCACCCACTCTTCAGCCAGTGCCAGACTTGCAGGACACCCCTGACCAGGTCATTCCCTGGAATGGAACTCAAGCATCTCAAGAACCCCTACTTTGGTAAATCCTTCCATACTGTTGTACTGGAAATATCTGTCTACCCCCGATTGTGCTATACCAGGAGATCACTGAGGTCAGTTTCTGAGCCCTTTTTCCCAAGTCTCCAGTGCTCAGCAGCATACATAAATAAGTTGGTGAGTGTCTGAGTGAAGGTTTGATTGAGTGACTCTCTGTCATGTGGGGTGGGTCTTTCTGGGTCTCTATGTTATATGCCAGGGTGTGAAACAAACATTGCATAGCATGGAGCAAGGAACAAGTTATTGGGAAAACTTACATAGGCCACCATTCAGTAAGAAAAGTGAGAGATCCCTGGTCCTTCCATCTCACACAGTGGTGTGACAGGTCCAGGGTGCGCTGGGTCTGCAGTGTGAGTCTGTCTCAGTGGAGGGAAGCTCGCTCCCCCAGAGTGCTGTCTTTCATAGGGCAAATCAGCTAGGGAAGGCAGTGCTGACTGTGTGGGAGTAAACAGACTGCTTGGTGCCAGGCAGTCTGGATCAAGGGTGCCAGCTGTTTATTGGAGTTGTCTGAGAATGCCAGCTTCCCCAGCATCTTGGGTCCTTGGTATCTTTGGGACATTGCTGGTATCCCTGTGGTTGGAGGAACTCTGAGCTTTGACACTATCTCTCCCGTTGTCTAGACACCCCAGAGAGAGCACCAGGGTCAGTTTCTGATGGTTCACCTAGTTGTGCCACACTGGTCTTGAATGACTGAGTGGATGGATAGATGGATGGATGGGTGAGTAGAATGAGGAATGCATGCATGGGTGGATGGATGGGCAAGTTAATGAAAATATAAAAGCAATGGGTATATATGTGAGTCCATGGAAGTACCTGGCACCTAGTGAAATCCAACTTGTATTTGGTTCCCTTTTATTTTCTTCACTTCTCATCCCAGCTCTAACTTTGTGGGTTTCCACAGAGGTTTGTTCAGGTATGGAGGGGGGTGGCCCTGTCATCTGGTGCTAAACGTGGAAGCTCCATCATGGGTGGGGGTGAGAGTCTGGGACTGAGTGACTGGCAGCTCCTCCCCTTCCCTTTCTCAGGTTGCGTGGGGCCTCTTGTAACATGTCTTCCCTTACCACTGCCCTGGTGCACACTCTGAGACAGTGTAACCTAACTTGAAAAGGCTAACACTTTCACACATGACCACTAGTCAGCCGCATCACCAGACAAACCTTCCGGTGCTAAAGTGGGGAGAAGTGAAGGAAGAATCTGTCTCCTGGCTGCTGATTACACCTGACCCTCTGCTCCCTGCCCACTGTCACTGTTCAACTGGGCCTTCTTCAGCCCCTGGGCCAGTGGTTCTTAGACTTCAAGGTGCTTCAGACACACCAGGAATTATCTAAAACAAGGACATTGTCTAGGACAGGAGGAATTGTCCTGTCCTCCACCAGGGACTGCTGTCACCTCAGAATGCTGCTTCTGCTGACCTGGGCTGTGTCTGCAGACAGAGTGGTATTTTCCCAAGAAAGAGACCTCAAATGTCCAGATCTCCATATGTGAGCAGGTGGCCTCTGGGTTGCTGCTGAGATCTTTAGTGTCTTCATTTCTCTGTGGCTGCATTTTTGCTGTGTTAGTTTGGAGAGTAGCTAGTCACCTCCCCAGACCCCAGTCTATTACCTACAGGGCTTGTTACCACAGAATTCTGACTCTATCTTCCTGGGGTTCTGGTTCACCCCTTTCTCAACTCTTCTCCTCTGCCCTGATCCTATTTCCCTTTGAATCAAAACCCTATGAGTTCTCTTCTACACTAAATGTTGCCTGGGGACCCCATTGTGTTTCCCCCACCACAGAAGGCAGCATTCTCTTCCACCTGTGGTCACGTGTGGCTTCACAATGGAGTTACAGTCTGGGAAGGGCACCGTCAGGTCATTTCGTCCTTTTGCAGACATCACAGAGTGTACTTCTGCAAGCCAAGATGGTCACTAGGTAATAGAACCTTTTGGAGCCACTGTCACACATGCAGATGGTGGCTGACTGAAATGTCACTGTGGCAAGCCTGACTGTGCTTGTGAGATTTGCTGGTTCAGAACTTTCCAAGTCCCTAACCTAATGACTAATTTCTCTCGCTTTTCTATTTTTGCTTCTTAGGAACGAGTGGAATATCTCTTTCTCATAATTTTTACCGTGGAAGCATTTTTAAAAGTAATCGCCTATGGACTTCTCTTTCACCCCAACGCTTACCTCCGCAATGGTTGGAATTTACTAGATTTTATAATTGTGGTTGTAGGGTAAGTACAACTGCCTTTCTCCTTTCCCTGGCCTTACCCAGGCATGTCTCATTCTCCCTCTGCACGCCTGTGTCTTTCTGATGTGTGGTTCATATCTGTACTTGCCTTCAGGCACAATGAAAGGATCTGTTAAAATCACTTTCAGTTCAGTTTGTTCAAAAGGACAGGAGTTGTCAGCTAAGAGCATCCCTTGTCACTACTTTCACACATGTGCACACATAGAGATCTGCACACACACACACGTGAACCTGAGTGCTCTTTGTGGAACCATTGTCCTCTATGCAACTGAGGCTTTCCTCTGCTCCAGGACTTTTATTTCCTCTCTAACCACACATGGCCCAGCAGTTCCCCAGCCGCTTCCCCACTGTATTCCTGAGCTTGCCTGGAATGGGCATTCCACAGGGGTGGAGCGAGGGGGTTGGCATACACCACACTGTCAGGCTGTGCCTGTGATCCATATGACACTCATGTCCCATCCCTTCCTCATTGCCACATCTTGCTGTGACCCAAGAAAACCAGGCTGTTCAAGATAGCTGGATGAGAAGAAAACAGGGAATCCTGAAAGGCTGAGGTTATGACTAACCACACCAAATCCAGAGGCTTCTTCCTCCAAACACCTGGATCCACATTAGTGTAAGATTAGTCAGTTCAGGAATAGTAAATAAAATTTGGAAGCAATGATCTCATTATCAAGAAATTAATAACTTTTTAGCTGGACATGGTGGCACACACCTGTAGTGCCAGCTACTCAGGTGGCAGAGATCAGGAGGATTGTAGTTCAAGTTCTCATCTCAACAAACACGCGGTACTTGGTGGCACGTGCCTTTAATTCCAGCTACAAGGGAGGCATATAGATAGGAGGATCGCAGTCTGAAGCCAATCCTGGGGGGGAACGTGAGACCCTATCTAAAAAAATAACTAAAGCAAAAAGGGCTGTGAACATGGCTTAGGTGGTAAAGAATCTGCTTACCAAACCCCAATACCACCACCACCAAAAAAGTAATTTCTCAAAAACTCTCTCCATAAAACACTTAACATGCCTACATATGCTATGCAATATAATTTATTAGACTTTGTGGATAACGTTCCAACAACTCAAGTCTTTGGTAAAAAGCTGGGAGGGAGAGGGTGTCTCCTTTCTGCTTCAAAAATGAGCTGGCTCTTCTCAGCTGATGTGGTCATCCTCAGAGCCTGGCAAACATTTCCAGGACAGCCACCCTGCCCTTGCTCTCCCTGGTCAGAAAGCCTTCAGTGTCAAGGGCAGGATGTCTGGAAGCTCTTATCCCAGGAGCCTATTGTTGGCAAATCCTTTTGTGCCATCCCAGAAGAGACCTAGGCCCTGGGGGCTGCTCCAGAGTGGCTCCCATCATTATCTCTTCATGGTCTTCACTGCAGGACGCTCATTCACAAGTTACGTCCTTGTCCTTGGCCATCTGAATGACTCCTAGCATCGTTTGGACCTGTGCTACAGTTTTCCATCTTGCCTGGCCAGTGAATGACACATTTGGGCCACATGGACACCAGGGACATTTGGGAGACACGAGGACTTCTAAGGTTATTAGTTATGAGGTGTAAGTCTGCCTGTAGAGGATGGGAGAGGATGCAGTTCCATGAGCTATTTTTGCTGGTCTGAATAAATGAAGAACAATTAAACAAATGCCTTGAATGAACTCAGTAAACCACAGCAGCAGTCCCAATGGTTACTCAGGTTCCCCCAGATCCTTTTAAAATTCAGCATCTTTTTCAAGGCCTCAGTCTCCTGGGAGCCTGTGACACGCACACAGAAAGAGCCTCAGGAATGAGAGAGACTTGCAGGACAGGTTTCATTTAGCAGAGATACAACATTTCTTCTCAGGTTGATGGAAGGATTGCAATTGACTGAATGTGCTCAGCCACATTCATGTCACCATTGGAGCAAGCTTTTACAGGGTAGTCAGGTTCTGGTCCCTAGCCCTGAGGTCTAGGCTAAGAGGCTGATGAGAAGGAGAGACATTTCAAGCTTGGCATGCTTGGAAGAGATGCCTCTGTGTCATTTAAATCACGGAAGTTATGAGGCTAACACCTGCTCAACTATGGGTCACCATGGTCTTTAGGTCCCCCCCCACCTCCTCCCCTCCCCCGATCTCACACAAGACCATGTTCACCAGCTACTTTCTCTTCTGCAGGGCCATTGTTTAGGGGCTCTCCATCCTTCTAAATCTCAGCCCATCCTTCTAAATCTCAGCCCATCCTTCTAAATACAAAAACTGGTCCTCCATCCCCAGAGGGTACAGCTTCCCACCTCTCCCAGCCATGACACTTTTTTACCTCTCTGCTTCCCTCTGTCTCTTGGGAAATCTCTGTTGTCCTGGGCCCTCCTCTGGCTTCCTGGAGGAAGGTTTCTTCAGGTCCCCATCCTGCCCTGCTACTTGTCTGCTTGCTGCACAGCACCAGCACTGCTGGTGACATGTGACAAGAAGCATTTCCTTACCAAAGTGGAGAGGTCCCCTTGGCATACAAGGGGTGGGACCGCTCAGTGAATGCAAAGGGACTTCAGAGGCCTCTGTGAGCCACCTCCTTGTAAGAACTGAGGACGCCTCAGAAAAATCCCCCACTCAGGAGACTCTACCCTAGCCACAAAGCCTTTTGTTACACCCCATCCCTGTCTCCTTGGCAGTATGGTGGCCCTGCCTCTCTGATTTTCTGGCCCTCTGGAGCCTTCTTGTGGATCTCAATTAAAAGCTCTAATGCCCAGCTACAGAACTGCAAATCACACCTCCTGAAAAATCCCCAGTGAAGCATCTACATCTGAATCCATCCCTTCGGAACAAGGGAGCACAAAGCAGTGGGTTTGCCTTACCCAGCTAATCAAGGAGACGCACACTGGGCTCTATGAGCCAAGAAGAGCACCTCCCTACTCCCACTTCTTAATTTTCTGCCCCTTCAAAATTGAAAGCAGACACTTAATAAAGAGTCTCAAGCTGGGGGTAGTGGTTAAAAGAGAAGAAAGTCATCTAGTCTCTGCTCCCATCACCGAAAAATATTCTGTGAACATCTTGTACTCCAATAAGCATATTGCTTTCTTCCAGGAATACTGGGAAGGAGATGTGGTTTGGATTTGGAGTTTGTTGGGCCAGCTTGTAATGGGTCTTCGTTTCCTCAGGTTGCAGTGATCTAGATCTCAGTGGAAAGAACATTTTCCTTGCAGGGCAAAGATTTCTTCCCACCCCTCCACCCCCCACCCCCACTCTCCCATCCTGGCAACTTCTGCCTGGAACTCCAGACCTATGACCCCAGCTGACATGAAATCATCACTTTGCCCCATTGAGTGTAAGAATCAGCGGGCTTGGGGAGCTTTAGATAGGATCTGGAGAAAGCAGGCAAACTTTCTTTTTTTTTGGAGGGGTGGGGTTTGGCACAGTGCTGGGGATCTAGCCCAGGGCCTCATGCATAGGAGGCAAACCTTGCAGTTACAGAACCCATTGCTCAAAAGCCTCACTCCAAAGCCCAGCACATGAGGCAGACCGAAGCTGCTCTGAGAAACCTAGGCACCAGAGTCCCAGCCACTCTGCTTTGGCCTCTCTGCCCAAGATGTCCCTGAGGGCTTCCAATGGGCAATTTGAAAATCCTTTATCTGGAACAACCCCCTCATTGCCAGCCTCCCCCACCACCACCACCACACTGACTCTGGGCTATATATAGCTAAGCCCCCATCTGTATCTGGACCCCTGTTCCTAGGTTTAGTTTCCTGGAGCATGAATTATTGAAGGAACTCAAGCTTGTTGCTCAAGATCCAAAGTTGCCCTGGTCCATCAGTCCTTTGATAGAGTCCCAGTTCTGACTTGGATGTCCTCCTCTGTGACCCCCAAGCCCACCAAAGCAGACACGAGATTCAATACACGCTCTGCTGACAGCAGTAGAGTTGTTTCTAGGTGTAGAGGACAGAAATTAACCATGATGCTCTTTCTCCCTTTTCTCTTGGTTCCCAATAAAAGCCCAGGACTCCAGCGTCCTCCCTCATCACAGTCCTCTTCCCATCTGGCTCTGCACATTCTGGGGTCTAAACCCTTCCTTTCACTACCTCATCCCAAAGCTCCCCCACTGCACCCTCTGCTCCCCGTTAGTCTGTCACCTATCAGGGGTTGGCAGACATTGTCTATAAGGGCCAGATGCTAACGTTTAGCTGTGTAAGCCATGCAGAATCTGTTCCAGCTGCTCAGGTTTGCCTAGGAAAATAGTGATGTATAAATGAGTGGGTGTAACTGCATGCCAATAAAACTTTATTCACAAAATGGTGACCCACCTGCCCTGAATCCTCAGCTTTGTGGATCTGGTCAGCTTTTTTTTCTGGTCACTCCTTTTCCTTCTGGCTCTCACCAAGCACATTGCTTCTCTACAGCCTCTCAGGAGGCAGCAGCTGCCTCTCCCAGGTGACTGATTCCACTGCCTTCTCCTGATCCTGCTTTCAGACCTGGCCCTTCCCCTCTCTAAAGCGTTCTTTTGCTCTCTGTCATCAGACCCTCTGCCCCCAGGCCTTTTGCAGCCTTCAGCTCACCTGTGAGTCACTCCTCCTTCCTTGTACCTTGAAGACATTAGCTGTTGGCATACCCCAACTCTCTTGCCTTTGTGCCTCCAACCCTTCTCAGTTCCTGGATGTCACCTCCAGGGATCTTGACCTCCATCCTATCTCAGCCACCCATGCCAGTACCCTGTCACAGCTAATAACTGCACCCTCCCCAGAATGTCCCATCTAACATCCTGCTCCCAACTACCACCACCTCACTTTTGGCACCTTCCTCACATCCAACCCCAACAACCCATTCACCCTACCATATCCTTTCTGTTCCCTGTCCTTCATGTCCACTCCACCTGCCAATCTGCTTAGATGTCACACTCCACCATATCGACCCCACACTGGCATTGACACTTAGCTCCTTTATTTTTCTCTTCATTGGTCTCGCTCACCTGGAGAAACACCAACCGTGACCAAATCCAGGGAGATCCGCTTGGCACCTGCAAAGGATAGAGAGATACACAGAACCTAGCTGTATCTCACTCCCACTCATGACCTCCAGGAGCCTGTGATGCCTGGCAAGCCAACTTCATGCTCCCACGCATTCCCTCCTCTGCTGTCTTAGGTGATTCTTTGCTGGCTTTATCTCTCTTCAAACTTCTAGTGCCCCCTCCTTCCCCCTCACATTTTCCGCTGATGACCTTGGAATTACTCTCCTGAGAAAAGATGCAATCAGAAGAGAACTTTGCTATGTCCCCACAACCGTATCTGTACCCTTGTAATGTGCCTTCCTAGGTCTTTCCTCCCCAATCTCCCTTCCCACCTGAAGGCTCTTTGCATGGTGTTCACTGTTCCTTCCCCAGTCTAAGGCCAAGCCCTCAATGTGCCACACACCCCTTCCTGCCTTCCGAAGGGCATCAGTCCTTCTAGTTATTGTTTCCTCTAACTTCTGCATCATCAGATTTTCTGTGAGATGATTCCCATCGCACTCAAAAATGTTGTCATATCTCCCGGCAGAACTCTCTAGACTCCACACCCAATTTGGCAACCACCTGCTCACACTTACATCACAGTTCCTCAAAGGCATTGTGTATAAGTAGTCACTAGTCCCATGTGGCCATCAGCACTTGAAAAGCAGCTGATCTGGATGGAGATGGGTTGTAAGTGTAAAATACATAGCCTCTTTCAAAGATGTTATATATAACAGAGAATGACAAACATCTCATTAGTACTTTTTATTACATGATGAGATGATAATATCTTGGCAATGTTGGATTAGATAAAATATATTATCATAGTTCATTTCACCTGTTTTTTGTTTTTTTATGTTGCCACTAGTAAGGTTAAATCACATTTAGGGCGAAGGCTCTTTATTTGCACTGTCTCCAACTTCTCCCATTCCCTCTGGGGCTTTTGCCCCACTGCTCACCAAAACAGGTGTTTTCTCAATCTCAAGTCTTCATTCTGCTGACTCCCTCCAGTGGTCAGGTTCCTCTGTGTCTCTGGACACAGTTCACCATTTCTTCTCACCCACCACTTTCTTTATGGAAGTGTCTTCACTTTTCCTCCTTATCGGTCTCTTGTTGGTTTTTCCTCTCTTTCACCCCTCAATGTTGGAGGACCCCATAATTTAGTCTTTCACTAAATCACCTTCACCTTCTACAACAGCCTCCTAGGTGATGTCATGTGATCCAACTTTAAATACAATCTAAACAGCAAACACATTTGCTTCCCAGCCTGGACCTCCCTCAGACCTCCAGACACGTACATTCAACCCAAGATATCCATTCAGACATCCAGTCACAACTCAAACTTGGAAAATTCCCAGTAAAACCCTTCATATCCATCTTGCCACGTCTCAGCCTTCCAGGTGCTCAAGCCAAAACTCTTGGAATCGTCTTTTACTTGTCTCCTTTCTCATACTCCGCAACTAGTCCATCAGCTCTATCTTAAAATAAATTCTTAATCCGACTTTTTCTCCCTGCCTCCAACATGGCCTGGGCTAAGCCCCTAGCATTGCTCACCTAGACCATTGGAGTGGCCCATTCTGGCCTGGCCCACCACAGGTCATCATTCTTTCTCAACATTACAAAGATTCTTTTGGGACTTCAGTAAGATCGCGTCACTCTTCCGCTCAAATTCCCAATGGCTTCTTTCTGTGAGAAAATAAAGCAGGTGCGCCCAACAGGGCTCCTTATTTCACTCTGACTTAATTTCCCACTGTCCTCCCCTCACCTTCTCTGCTCCAGGCACACCAGTAGCTTGTTGTCTCTGCTCCCCTGTCACCAGGACTTCCTTTCCCAACCTCTATACAAAGGAAGGCACCCACCCTGTCTTTGCATTCTTCTCAGCAGTGTCACTACAGTTACTGATTGCAGAGCTCCCCGTGTGAGCTCCTTGAGGGCAAGACCAAGTCTGCTCCATTCTAGCCCCGGTGTGTAGAACGGTGCCTGGCACACAGTAGGATTCATTTGTTGGAGGACTTGGTGTGCTAGCACAGAGTGGAAATTGGCTTGCCTCTGTCTCATGCTTTGTGTGTGACTTGACTCCCATTCTTATTGAACCATTTGGTCATTCTTCCATTTGTTCACTAGACATCTTTTAAGCAGCTGTGGTGTGCCAGTACAAGGTAGATGTCTATGAAGTCATTTATTTGTGCCCTGGAGCAAATCAAAGAGAAAGCTGGTAGGGGGAAGGGAGAGAAAGTGTGTGGTCCCTGGCTCTCATGGGAGGGTGAGCTAGGACACCACAGAGGTTACCCCTAAAGAGACTTCACCTGCCCTGCACTTGTGTCCAGGACCCCCAGCTCACTAGAGCCAGATGTGTTCACATCTTTCTGGTGGCCAACCCTCACTTCCCTCAGTGTGCTCTGGGCTGTGGTGACCCTGCTGGCATGGGTGACACCCCCCACTGAGGGACTGTCATAACTGTTCATTCATGTGCCTTCCCACCGTCACACGTATGGGGCCTGCAAACTTCTGGTTCAGGCCATGTTCAGCAATAGGAGCCCAGCTGGGCAACAGGACGCTGCTCTGACAGCTCTTCTCTTTCTTCCCTTTTAGGCTTTTTAGTGCAATTTTAGAACAAGCAACCAAAGCAGATGGAGCAAATGCTCTAGGAGGGAAAGGGGCTGGATTTGATGTGAAGGCGCTGAGGGCTTTCCGTGTGCTGCGCCCCCTGAGGCTGGTGTCCGGAGTCCCGAGTAAGTAAAGCCATTATTCCTGTTGACAATGTTGACTATGTTACCTTGTCACCACCTTCTTGTTCCCTTGGCTGAACTGCCAGAGCTACCTTGCAGAGGAAACCGATTTCCTATAAATTGCAGGTTTTCTTTAAAATGAGTCCCTCTGATTTAAAGAACCCAAGTTCTGATGCAAATGCCTCAAACATACATGGCCCAGCCCCTGTGAAGACCTAGAGAGAGTTCCCAGAGATCATGTGGCCAAAGCCAGCTGACCTGCACAAAGACCACAGTCCCAGGGCCTCTACATGTCCTTGGAGGCCTGGCTGAAGCTACACATTTGCTGCAGAGGTGTCAGGATGGCAGAGCCCATTAATCTCCATGCTTTCTTTCTGTGTTTTTCCAAACAACATCAGTAAAGCCCCACTGGATGTTCTAAACATTCTGTCTTGCCATTTCTCTCAGCCCCCACCTCCTTCATGTCAAATGCCAGGCTGCAGAGCCCTCTAGAGAGACACGACACCTGCCATTGTGAGAGTGGGTTTCTCCTAAGGGATGGTGTCCAGCTCTCTGAATTAGGTAAGCCCATCAACCACGCCAAAGCCTCCTCCTCCCCACCGAGCTCAGCAGCTCCAGCCTCCCTCATCAACTCTAGCCAATCCCAGCCCTCCTGTTCCTGGGGCCATGACTTTCAGAGTCCTCCTACCTCCTCATTCTTGCTCAATCTGTATTGCTCCAGAACACTGGGCTTCTTTGCTGAGCTTTTACACACTCAAGTCAGCTCTATTTCCCCATGTCTTAAGACATAGGAGCCACCTAAGCCTGGACTGAACCAGACCTGCTTAGAGATGGGGACAAGGGATAGAAGAGAAGAGAGGTCCTATGAGCACACAGCTCTTCTTGCTGGGTTACATTCATGCTGCTTGGTGATATCTCTTAGAGCCAGAAAACCCCAGAAATGAGGACTCATTGTCAATCTGCTCATTTTTTTTTTTTTATGTGTGCACGGAATAGTGGAAACATTTTTCCATTACATAATTACCTAGCAGCAAAGTCAGGTCTAGAACCAGGTCTTCAGACTTCCAGTCCCAACTCTCTTTCCTACTCTACCACACCACCTCCTTTAAAGAATTAAGGGTTATATAACTCTTGATTGTCTTTGAGTTTTGTGCATATCTCTTGCCTCTTCAATTACCTTAAAGGAAAAGTTCCTCGAAACTCAGAATTGTTTCTTATATTGTCCCCAATCCTGTACAAAGCCTCGATTGGTCTCTAGACAGGGCAGGAGAATTTCTGAATGAGCGGAAGCAAATATGGTGGATTGTCTTAAACTCAAAAGCAGCAGATACCTAACCTGCACAGCACAATTAAAACAGACATTCTCAACTTGCCCTTGACCATTTTGGGGTGCTTAGGAATAGGAGCCAAGTAGTTGATGCCCAGGTCCAGTTCCACTTTTGTGAAGCCTAAAACATTTGAGTTTTCTTGGCCAATCAGCCATAACTTGGTGGACTTTCTTCAGAGGAGTGAGAAGGGAAGCTGAAAGTGACTTTTTAACATGACTCTAAAGAGCTTATGAAGATGTAGCCAATGTTTTAATGATAGAATTATGAGTTAATCCTGGACTTTGTTACCTAGTGCTTATTAGGAGCTCTGGATTTCAAAGGGTTTCTTGTTTATTAGGAATTTTTTGGGTGGGACTGGGGTGGTATTGAACTCAGGGCTTTACACTTATAAAGCAGGTGCTCTACTGTTTGAGCCACACCTCCAGCCCATTTTATTCTGGTTATTTTGGAGATGGGGGGTCTCACTAACTGTTTGCCCAGCTGGCCTGAAATCTCAGTCCTCCTGATCGCAACCTCCTAAGTAACTAAGATTGCATGCGTGAGCCACTGGCACCTGGCAGGATTTCACATGTTATGTTTAGGATTAGCGCATATCGTAAAGATAAGCATGGCCCTCTCACTGGAGGACTTTGACTGGCAAATACAAGAGCACGTCAGTCAACTGCAGGATCAAATGAACCCAAATGCTTCAGCACCTGTAACCAGATGCTGACCTCGTGGGACTCTGAGCTAGACCAGGTTCCTTGTGTCATCTAACTCCAAAGCCCAGATTGCAGGAGCCCCCACCATGTTGCTGTCATGGAAGAGGGTGGATGCTCACATCACACTGACAGTTCCAAATTTATGCTTGTAGATGCCTCACATCACAGCTGCTCACATTTCACTGGCCAAAGGAACTTGCATAGCTAACCCCAAAGATGACAGGGCAAAGAATTATAGTTGGCTCTCCTTAGCCCTTTGTTCTGCATCTGAGGATTCAACCAACTGCTGATTTAAAACATTTTTTAAATGATATCTGTACTGAACATACACAGATTTTGCTTGTTTTTTTTTTTTTAGTGGCCTTAGGTTTGAACTCAGGGCTTAGCACTTGATAGGCAGGCACTCTACCACTTGAGCCACACTCTAGCCATTTTTGCTCTGGTTGTTTTTGAGATAAGGTCTTGCTTTTTGTGTAGGCCAGCCTGGACAGCAGTCCTCCTATTTGTTCTTCCCCACAAAGCTGGAAAGCTGGGGTGACTGGCATTTGCAGCCAGTCCCAATCATTGGTGGAGATGGTGTCTCACAAACTTTTTTGCCTGAACTGGTCTCAAACCACAGTCCTCCTGATGTCTGCCTCCCAAGTACCTAGGATTGCAGGCTTGAGCCACTGTGGCTAGCCAGATGTTTTATCTTGTTATTAATCCCTAAAAATACAGTATAAGAACTATATTCACAGCATTTATGCTGTATTTGGTATCATAACTAATCTGAGATGATTAAAAGCACGCAGGACAATGTGCATAGGTTATATGCAAATATTACGCTGTTTATAAAAGGGACTTGAGCATCTGGGTTTTCGGTGTCTGAAACCAGCAGGTCCTGGAACCAGTTCCCTAAGGACACTAAGGGATGGTCACATACTCTTAACTACCAAGAAGCATAGCCAAGTAACTGTGAACATATGATATGATCTGCCACAAAGAGATGGGAAGATTATTGTCAGCAGAAATAGTTACAGTAATTACTTTAGTACAGAGATTCTGAATTAGCCACTCATGCTTCTGTGCACTGGACAGCAGAGGTGTATTACACAGAGTGACTAGGGGTCATCACAAAGAAACTTCCTAAAGGAAGTGCTTTCTCTCATCTGCACTGAAATAATGATAGACCTGTAACTGGGGTCTGGAAGAGGTAGGGCTCCTTGGAATTCTCTCATGACAGCCCCTCAGATACAAATCTCTCTCCCTCTCTCTCTCTCTTTCTCTTTCTCTTTCTCTAGGACTGGGAATTAAACTCAGAATCTTCCACTTGCTAGGTAGGCACTCTACCACTTGAGCCACACCCCAAGTCCTTTTGCTTTAAATTTGTTTTTCAGATGGGTCTCGCACTTTTGTGATCCTCCTACCTCTGCCTCCTGAGTAACTGGGATTATAGGTGTGAGCCACCATCCCCAGCCTGTCTTCCTTTACTCCTTGAATACACTCCAAGCCTGCTTTCTTTCTCTCCCACTGCTGCCCCAGAACACCTCTTGTCAAGACCACCAGTGACCCAGTGCTGTTGACCTTGCTCTTTCTGCAGCCTTGAGTTGAGCCACAATAGCTGACTGCCCCTTGTTTTTAAAACACTGTTTTTACTTGTCTTCTGGGACACTGTTCTTTCTTAGCTCAGCCCTCACTTCACTGATTTTTCCTTCTGGGAATGTTTAGCTGTTTCCCCCTCATCTTCTCACCCTGTGCAACACTGGAAAGTGCCAGGCTAAATCCTTGCACCCATTCTCTAGCTACAACTCTTCTCTCATTTTCCTGTCTCATCTACTCTCGTGACACTAAATATCATCTGCTAGTCTTTTCATGATGACCAGCCATCTGTCCCTGATTGCCCCCTCCAGTCCTTTCATTGCATCTTGAATGAGTGTCTTGAACTGAGCATACCAATCACAGCTGCTCCAGCTCCCCCAATCCTTTCCTGTGGCCTCAGGGCCACATTTAGGTTAGTTTTGCTCACAGCTGAGTCTTCATCACCTACAATGGCAGGTGAATGTTAGTATAACACACTCATAGCTGAGTGGCATAGCTACACACAGCAGAGCCCCCTGGCTCCCCAAAATGATATGGATGCTGAAAGACCTCCCCCCACATGTGCTAGGTGGTGTATAGATATGGAGGGTGCTGTTTCTTGTAACAGAGGTTAATTGGGTGGTTTTTGAGATCTGCAACACTAAACCAAGGGTGTGAGGAGGCCAGAAAGTTTTGCTGCTTTTTTTGGTGGGACTAAGGTTTGAATTCAGGGCTTTGCACTCATAAAGCAGATGCTCTACCACTTAGGCCACACTTCCAGTCCATTTTTCTCTGGTTATTTTGGAGATGGGGTCTTGTGAACTATTTTCCTGAGCTGGCCTTGAACTGTGATCCTCCTGATTTCAGCCTCCCAAGTAGCTAGATTACAGGCGTAAGCCATCAGCACCCGGCTTGGTGCTCTTTTTTAAATGTCTGTATATATATACTAAATACCACTGGAATCTTACAGATTATTTAGGGAGAGAGATGACTGTGAGGGTACAGGCCTATGAATCACTGATCGCTTTGTTCCACAAGATGTATGGGGTATTCACTTTTTGTAATATTTTGCTGGCCACTGTGGTAGACACTGAAGTGAGTCAGATGGTAAGTAAGAAGTATAGTAGGAAACATACGTCCACAAGTAATACATAGAATGAAACAGTAGAGATGCCTAAAAAAAACTTTAGGCAAGATGTGATGAGTTCTCTGACAAGTAAGCTTTCGGGATGCCATGCTTCTGGGAGCAGGGGCAGAGAGAATCAGGAGAGCCTTCCTGGAGGAGGTGGTATATGGGTTGGATCTCAAAAGACAAACAAGGAGAGGTATTCCAGGAGATTATGAAAAGAAAGGCCAATGACTGTGGCCCTGGAGATGTACATAGACAAGGTGCAAAGTTTAGGGGTTGATGAACCAC